CAGAACTAATAGAAGTGCTCTGTTAAAGGGGGTGTGACCCTAAAAAACGACTTAAGCTACTTAAATCAAGAAAAAAATTCTAAGATCTCTTGTGAAAACCGCAGTCCTGTATCAAAATAGTATCCGAGAAAATTCCTTGGGAAGATCAATTATGCAGGAAACTTTGAGTGGTTGCAATTCGCTCTAGGACTGCAGGGATCCAGATCTCACGATTTATCGTGAGATCTCACGATAAATCGTGAGATCTGGGATCCCTGCAGTCCTAGAGCGAATTGCAACCACTCAAAGTTTCCTGCATAATTGATCTTCCCAAGGAATTTTCTCGGATACTATTTTGAATACAGGACTGCGGTTTTCACAAGAGATCTTAGAATTTTTTTCTTGATTTAAGTAGCTTAAGTCGTTTTTTAGGGTCACACCCCTTTAACAGAGCACTTCTATTAGTTCTGTTCTTTCTAGGAGGGGATTTAACAGGTATTTTATTACAATAACAGTTACTTTTATTACAGATTAGATTTATTTAGGAATACGAAGTGAAATAATTTATTTTATGTTTTATACTTTTACACTTACGATAATCATGGTCTAAGGCTATTGGAGAAAAAGATGGAGCTTGAGCTGGGGCCGCTGGGGGCAAGTTTTCAATCTCAATGTTTTCCGAGATTAGAGTTTTAGAACACTTATCTCTTGACTGTTTCCCTAATTCGGCAATTTGTTTTTCTTTTCTGAATTTCCTTTTTTTAGTGAGTGGCTTTACTTTGGCATTATTACACATATCACTTAGGTAAAGTTCGTTTCACCAGGGTTCATACTTGACCATGAAACTTGACAAAAAAGGGTTTGTCGTAGATTAATTCATATGACACATTCAATTTTTTTGACAAATTAAAATGAATGACGTCTGGTTTAAGAACCGACGAACGTTTTTGACGTCATTGATTTGTTTCAGTCAATTTTTATTTGTTAAACAAGGAAAACAAATGCTGGTGGCAAGTACAAACTCTGGTGGACCAAACTTTACTTGTAAGAGTTGGCCTCTCTCAGAATGTACTTCTTCTACTCCAGACCTGGACATAAATTTATTTGAAAATTTATATTATTAAAATTAATTTTTCAAACCTACAATATTTGAGTGGTTTTATCCTTCTTCAACCAATAATCTACAATAAAAAACAAAGTGGTCCTTCAAAGTTCTAAATAGAGAACATTTTTTCCTGTAATTATGGGTATATTTTTTGAATTTCTTCTCATTTTCTACCTCTTCTAATGGGTAGTACATTATTTTGTATAGGTATTATTAATTTATCCAAGTGAAAGCGAATATTGTTTTATAAGGTGTATGGTGTATTCCTTTACAATAATTTGCCTTTTAGGAAAATAAAAAATAACAAGATAAATTAATCATATTATCAAAATAAATATACAGGGTGTTTCACCAACATCGAAACACAGGCGTTTTAAGCAGCGTTTTTCTAGTAACGCGCATTTTACGCGGCGTAGAACGTAATTCGGTCGGCGTAAAACGCTGAGGATTTATGAAAATCCAAATAAAATGGCCATATTTCTATAGCAACGCAATGTATTGAAAAAATGGCAAAGACGTCCCGAGGTGTTGACCTAGTGATTCACCCACCTTCAGAAAGAAACTTTATTGGACCCTCCATCTTTCCCACATTCTTCGCCAAAAAATGGTGATTTTTCGCCGCCTAACATTCACACCCTGTATAACGAAAAGGAATTTAGAAAAATATATATCCGACGACACTGGCGCATAGACTAAGGATGGTGCTTTCTAACACTGGCCGAAAATTCAAGATCGGCAAAGAAATGTCGAAATTACATAGCAAGTCAAAATAAGGCAATTTTTTGGGTGTCCCACTTCATCTGCCGCTCAGTTTATATGTGTGGTTGTGCCTATATCAACTGTATTATACAGTGAGTTCATAAAGTCCCGCATAAATTTATTATTTCGAAAACGGTCGAATTTTGGAAAAATCGCTCAGACACGTCAATCTTGTTTTTTTGTTGAAATTTTTCGATATATTTTTTATCATACAGGGGTGTCTCAAAAATAGCTTCGTTGGTATCTAACTTTATTTTTTTAAACGGTACCCCCTGTATATTATGAAAATTCTGGATTCTGTGGAAAATTATAGACATATTTCATGTACAATGTCATATACCTACCTATCTTCATCTGGGAAATATTGACAGTTGAAAATTGACTTTTTTGCATCTTTGTCAGACTGTAAAACCTGAACGGTTGATCTTACAACAAAATTGATGATCCATTTTTGTCTTAGTTTTTCATAAACTATCATTTGATACCAAGTTTGAAGTTAATCCATGATTAAAATTCCGGTTAAATTTAATCCCCGGTTTAATTCAGAGAAGGTGTCAAATGATAGTTTATGAAAAATCTGAGATAGGAATGTAAAATCGGTTTTCCTCTAAAATTAACCGTTTAGGTTTTACAGCCTGTCAAAGTTGCAAAAAAGTCAATTTTCAACTGTCAATATTTCCGAAACAGTTGGAGATAGGTATATGACCTTATACATGAAATATGTCTAAAATTTTCCACAGAATCCAGAATTTTCATAATATACAGGGGGTACCGTTTAAAAAAAATAAAGTTGATACCAACGAAGCTATTTTTGAGACACCCTGTATGATAAAAAATATATCGAAAAATTTCAAACAAAAAAACAAGATTGACGTGTCTGAGCGATTTTTCCAAAATTCGACCGTTTTCGAAATAATAAATTTATGCGGGACTTTATGAACTCACTGTATAATACAGTTGATATAGGCACAACCACACATATAAACTGAGCGGCAGATGAAGTGGGACACCCAAAAAATTGCCTTATTTTGACTTGCTATGTAATTTCGACATTTCTTTGCCGATCTTGAATTTTCGGCCAGTGTTAGAAAGCACCATCCTTAGTCTATGCGCCAGTGTCGTCGGATATATATTTTTCTAAATTCCTTTTCGTTATACAGGGTGTGAATGTTAGGCGGCGAAAAATCACCATTTTTTGGCGAAGAATGTGGGAAAGATGGAGGGTCCAATAAAGTTCTTTCTGAAGGTGGGTGAATCACTAGGTCAACACCTCGGGACGTCTTTGCCATTTTTTCAATACATTGCGTTGCTATAGAAATATGGCCATTTTATTTGGATTTTCATAAATCCTCAGCGTTTTTAACGCCGACCGAATTACGTTCTACGGCCGCGTAAAATGCGCGTTACTAGAAAAACGCTGCTTAAAAACGCTGTGTTTTCGATGTTGAGTGAAACACCCTGTATATTTATTTTGATAATATGATTAATTTATCTTGTTATTTTTTATTTTCCTAAAAGGCAAATTATTGTAAAGGAATACACCATACACCTTATAAAACAATATTCGCTTTCACTTGGATAAATTAATAATACCTATACAAAATAATGTACTACCCATTAGAAGAGGTAGAAAAATGAGAAGAAATTCAAAAAAATATACCCATAATTACAGGAAAAAATGTTCTCTATTAGAACTTTGAAGGACCACTTGTTTTTTATTGTAGATATTTGGTTGAAGAAGGATAAAACCACTCAAATATTGTAGGTTTGAAAAAATTAATTTTAATAATATAAATTTTCAAATAAATTTATGTCCAGGTCTGGAGTAGAAGAAGTACATTCTGAGAGAGGCCAACTCTTACAAGTAAAGTTTGGTCCACCAGAGTTTTGTACTTTGCCACCAGCAATTGTTTTCCTTGTTTAACAAATAAAAATTGACTGAAACAAATCAATGACGTCAAAAACGTTCGTCGGTTCTTAAACCAGACGTCATTCATTTTAATTTGTCAAAAAAATTGAATGTGTCATATGAATTAATCTACGACAACCCTTTTTTGTCAAGTTTCAAGGTCAAGTATGAACCCTGGTGAAACGAACTTTACCTAAGTGATATGTGTAATAATGCCAAAGTAAAGCCACTCACTAAAAAAAGGAAATTCAGAAAAGAAAAACAAATTGCCGAATTAGGGAAACAGTCAAGAGATAAGTGTTCTAAAACTCTAATCTCGGAAAACATTGAGATTGAAAACTTGCCCCCAGCGGCCCCAGCTCAAGCTCCATCTTTTTCTCCAATAGCCTTAGACCATGATTATCGTAAGTGTAAAAGTATAAAACATAAAATAAATTATTTCACTTCGTATTCCTAAATAAATCTAATCTTGTAATAAAAGTAACTGTTATTGTAATAAAAATACCTGTTAAATCCCCTCCTAGAAAGAACAGAACTAATAGAAGTGCTCTGTTAAAGGGGGTGTGACCCTAAAAAACGACTTAAGCTACTTAAATCAAGAAAAAAATTCTAAGATCTCTTGTGAAAACCGCAGTCCTGTATTCAAAATAGTATCCGAGAAAATTCCTTGGGAAGATCAATTATGCAGGAAACTTTGAGTGGTTGCAATTCGCTCTAGGACTGCAGGGATCCCAGATCTCACGATTTATCGTGAGATCTCACGATTCAGCACCAAGTCTCACGATCTCATGATAATGGATTTTAATCTCACGATATTTTTATAAACGCGGCTTGCCGCTTGCAGTATTTAAAATATCTTTCATAAAAACTCAACATTTATTTTCTAAGCAATTTTTTACTCAAGCAAACAATTATTCGGATATTCCCACAGCGTGGAGTCCGTGTCCGATACTGGAATGGAATGTACCATGGCGCCCCTAGCGGCTTTCGGAATAACTAGATCTCTACGCTCCTTTTGTGCTGCGGCGCGGAGTAGTTTTCTGTAATCTGCCGCTTGCTCCTCATGCATATTTGGTTACAAAACAGGCGCCTGGGCCTGGATTCCGAACCTATGATTCGATAGTATCGTCCATATAAAATAGATAAACAATACTATCGAATAGCGAGTTCGGATTCCGGGCCCTGATTCTCGAATTTCGAAACAAGGGAGCAGCGTTCTCACGAAAGCAATATTTCAATACGAAAGTAATTAATTTTTTTTTTTTAATAGGGAACTTGCAAGTGAACTAAAATTTTCCAAATTTGTTTTAAATCGACAGTTTATACTGCACAATATTTGTATCACCAGTTTTTATTTAACTGATACCGCCCTTGTTACACAAAAGGTAATACTAAATTTGAAATAAAAAATTTCCCGCCAAAACAATGCTTCCATGATGGCTTTTTTTTTTGACGTCACGATTCTGTAAACAAACCTGTCAATAGGAAATTTGCACATTAAAAAAAATTACAAAAGCAGTCCTTTACAATATTCTTCATCCATTGCGACAATTTTCACAAAAAGCAAACTTTAACAGAGTTGAATAACACAAAAATAGCACTGTGTCAGCAGGAGTTCGTTTTCTGCGTATGTGTTGTTTACAAAATCTTAACGTCACAAACGCTGTCATATTGAGATTTCGTGTTTTCGCGCCAAAGTTTTTCATTTGAATTTCAATAATTTTTTTTCGGACAACGTATAAATTGAAATGGAAAAAAAGAATACTATGTAATAACTGATCACTAGAAGTATCTGAAAAAAAATAATTTGGGAAATATGAAAATTCCCTATTATGTTTATGTTATAATTCAAATTGAATATTTTGTGCATGAGATAGTCCTGGAGAAACCAAAAAACCTAAAACCCTAGTTAAAACAATAATTTCGCTAAAATACGCATGCGTTTTACGATCTCACGATTTCTCACGATTTTTTCACGACCGATATCACGATAATAGGCTCAGAGCATCTGGGATCTCTATCTAGGAGATAATTATTTTTTGTTTTGGAGAATTATCACACGTGTTAATGCTGTCCCTGAAAATTCAGCGTGACGTCACAGAAGCCTAGTCGTAACTTTAAACCGCTCTAACTCGAAAAAGGACCATCGTAGCAAGATGCGGTTTGAATATTTATTCTTAGATTTTTTTTGCACCCCCTTTAAGGAGAAATGCTTTAGAGTATTTGGATAATAAAGAATCAAGGGAAGAAATATTAAAAACTAGGCAATTAAATTTGGAGGAAAAAAAAATTGAGTTGGAAAATAGAAGGCTAGTCTTATATGAACAACGGCACGAAATGGATTATATAGAAAAAAAAGAGAAATTGGAAATGGAGAAAACTCGATTTACACGAGAAATGTTTGAAAGAGACCAAAAATCCAAAATAATTGAACAGCAACATCAAGTTATTCAGTCACCGATGGAAAGATTGAAGAAGTATGAAGAAAAATAAAATAATTTTAATGTTTTTTCCCATTTGTTCGATGTAATTATTCTTCGTGTTATTTGTTTTTTTTTATATTTTGTTAAGTTACAATATAGGTATATCTCTCAGTATATCTATATCTGGATATCTATTATGATCAGGGTTGGGAATGTAGCGACTTTTTTATCAATTACATTAACTACACTTACTACGTAATTAATTCTAAATGTAGCCAATGCAAGGTAGTTGATGTCGTTGATGTAACTAATGATCTAATTGGTTGATTTCCTCTGTCATTTTGATTTTCTAACCTCACAAAAGTCACTGGAGTCAGTCTACAGAACCCACAGAAGTAATTTGTTATTGTTATTTGTTATTAATGAATATTATGCATTTCATTTACGATTGATAAAACTTTTGCATGATGTCTCAAGCTGGTGGTAGTTGTAGTTCAAGTATGAGTAATGCTGCCAGCAGGAAATTTCACAATAAATATCAGAAACTCAAATTCACCAGTATAAAGCTTGGGTCTGGGAAAGGGCGAAGCGCTGCTGTTTGCAATATTTGCAAAGTGACATTGAAGAACACCTCTATAGAAATCCATAGGTAAGTAAGTTTAATTATTTATTATGTTCTGTTTATTGACGTTTATGTTATATCTAATATAGCAGGTCGTTGGTTCTGCTTCGTATCTGGTTTATGTGAATAAAATAAATAGTATAGCCGCTACGGAGCGGAAAACATAACATAACTACGGTTTTCATTTCAGAAATAGATGTATTCCTTCTCCAAACTCTCCACAATCCGAAACCAATAGCCTTGAATATTCTGATGAAGATGACAGTACCAGCTACCATAAAAGTTCGAAGGTGCCTCGAACCAGAACAACTAAAGCATTTCAGAGCTCTGCAGCTAATACCGATACCACCAGTGCAATATATTCACAGTTAGGCAAAAGCATCACAGGGCAAGCCACAAGTAGAGAGGATTTGACCGATGTGAATGAAAATTTCACCGAGGAAATTCTTGTTGATGATGTAGAAATTTGCAATATCGAGCAAATGGATTTTGATGATGTGCAACTAATTGATGAGGTAGATTAAACGAAAACAATTTCTAGCACTTAGAGACTAAATAAATTTATATATTTCAGGCTACCCTACAAAACATTGATCTTCCCAATGCTGCTTCCTATGCTTCCGATTCTGAAATGATATCTTATAGAAACGACCATGGTACGTACTGTGCGAGTGTAGGCCAATATTTAGAAGTTGGGAGTAATAATCTTTCCAACCAAAAACAAAAAGTTCCAGATATGTTTAAAACCAAAGCCGTGGTGGCTGATACATCCTTGCCAACTTCTACTTTAATATCAAGTTCTTCCAAAGGCAATTTGTTCGATACTATTGAAGAAAAAAAAAGCGGCAAGTGGACGAACTCCAAGAAAAAATAAATCCAGTAGAGTTTTAAATTCATTTATTGATAGTATGTCATCTGAGGTTAAAGAAAAAGCAGACGTAGCTCTAGCAAAGTTTTTTTATGGATGCAATATTCCCTTCGCAGTTGTTGAGAGTGATAACTTCAAAAACTTCATCAAAACCATACGACCATCATACAACCTGCCCTGCAGAAAAACATTATCGTCAACACTCCTAGATCGAGTAAGTGCTGAGGTAATGGATTCCAATAATCACTCCATCGGGAAACACAGTTGCCTTCTTATTGATGGCTGGAAAAATTGTTCCAATAATACTAAAAATGTGGTAACAATGCTACAGACAGCTGGATCTGCCAGAGGTGATAATATATTTCTAGATAGCTGTGATTTATCAACTGAAAAGGAAACTGGAGAGGCATTAGCAGATATTTGCAGCCAATCAACAGAAATTGCCAAATCACGATACAAATGTGAGGTTTATGCAGTTGTAAGCGATAATGCTGCTAATATGATAAAAATGGGTCGTCTAACGTCACTTTGGCATAGTACTTGTAGTAGCCACACCGGAAATCTATTAGCAAAGGATATACTTGACATGGATACAATAAAGCAACTGAATTTAATTCTAAAGGAGTTCAAAAGAACCGATTTAGAGAACCTACTTAAGGTAGGTGGGGGCTACAAAATTGTTTTACCCGCTGAAACTCGTTGGTGCTCGCATAGAGATGCTTGCCAAAATTTTATTAAAAATCTTCCAATTATGAAAAAAGTGTGTGCGCTAGAAAATATCAAAGTTAAGGCAGAAATAACTTTACATTTATATGACGAATATTTTGTGAAGAAACTTCAGGAAACAATACGTTCACTAACTCCTATTTGTGAACTTATCAACAGATGCCAAAGTTCTAATTTCTCAATTGCGGATTCAACCGAAGAATGGATGATTATAAAGACCAAGTTGAACAATGAGACTGAAGAAATTCAGGCAGCTGTTCAGCGTCGCTTTAATATGGCTGTTAAGGTTTATGGAATGACGGCCAATTTCCTTCACCCACTGTATAATGATGAACAATTGGAAAATAAACAGAGAGATTTAATACAAGATTTTTTATTAGAAAACTTAGACTCCAATGAACTTAATGCTTATACAAATAAAAGAGATATTTTTTCAAAACTTTTTGACAAAAAAAATGATTCACCTGATACATTTTGGGGTTTGGCAGAAAGAAAATTTCCATCGGTAAGTTTTCTAGCATTAAACTTATTGAAAATTCCAGCTTCTTTAGCTCAGCTAGAGCGAATATTTTCAAACTGGTCTTTCATTCATTCGCCTCTTCAAGAAATAGGCTAAATGTTGAAAAATCAAAAAAACTCATATCAGTTTATTATTCTCTAAAATTTCAGGACAGCAATATATCTGATGACTATTAACTATTATTATGCAGAATATCAATTTTTTTCCACATAAACGAAATAGTTTATTTTTTTAGTTTTTTGTTTAAGCATTTGATGTAGGGATTTTTTTTATGTTTTTTATTGTCTCTGTAACGGAACTTGTTTCTGTTAGGTTGAATAATATTTTGTTTTTTTATTGTCTTTGTAAAAATTATATTTTCGATTCAGAAACTTGTATTTTTATTTATTAATTAAAATACAATAGTGACAATCGAAAAATATGTGGATCAAATTGCTACAGGGAGTGCCTCAAAAACAAATGAACGCTCCTTAAGGGAATACGCCGGCTTAAATAAGAAATATCTGCTGATCCAATTTACGTCGGCAGATAATGGTACTACCAGTGCAGTACCGCTGATTAAGCAGTTTTATATATTTATTAGTATTAACATAGGCGTACGCTTATAATTATCATAGGAAAGGAGAATTATTAGTATAAAGATAACATAGGGTCTTACAATATAACTTAACGATACTTGTTCCTGTTAGGTTGAATAATATTTTGTTTTTTTATTTTCTTGTTCAAGCATTTGGTGCTTTTCAGTTTTGTCATCGTCCAAAGATATTTTGGTCTGATGTTAGAATATCTTTGGACGATGGTTTTGTATTTAACACTTTTGTAGGGATTTTTTTTCTGTCTTTCATTGTCTTTGTAACGGTACTTGTTCCTTTTAAATAATGAGGAGATAGTTCAATAAAAACGTTTGTAATAAGATTCTTCTTGTTTTATTTCCTTTATCAATAAGATATTATAGCCCACGGACTCATGCCATGCATGGCTCATCCCATAACTAAACTACCATCATATTCAAATTTTTCCAATAACAATAATTTTATGAAAAATAGTTTGGAAAATGTTCGAAAATATAAAAGAAATGTAGGTAGGTAAAGGTTATGTAGTTAATGTAACTAACTTTGCTAAAAAAGTGATGTAGTCATCCTCAATAACTACGGTAGTTAATCGTGTTAGGGCCAAATTATGGACTGACTGGTAAACGTCTGGTTGTTACCTAGCAGGTACTTTCTATGCACTAGAGGATAGAAAGTACCTGCTAGGTAACAACCAGACACTTACTAGTTGATTCATAATTTGGCCCTAATTAATGTTACATTAACTACGTTCCCAACCCTGATTATGATATTTTGTACTTCCTTGGTAAGGTGTAATATCTATTTTTGTTTTGGTTTGTTTTCTTCCACCTACCTATTTTGATTTATTTATTTGGGTTACTTATTTTTTTCAATGTACACTAGGTACAAAGTGTTTCAAATTAGAGTTTCAGCAGTTGGGATTATGAAAAAGGTAATATATACTGGGTGGTTTAAATTTGACAAAGTTACTGATTTTATCACCAATGAAATAAAGATTGCCGAATGCGACATCCTCTTTCAACTTAAAAGCGCCCGTACCTTCAAAAATTTGTATTGCTTAGAATACGAATTTTCAAAAGTGACCCAGTTTCAAAAAGCGCATTTAAGTTAAAAGAGGATGTTGCATACGGCTGTAGATATTTTCCAAAATATCTCTTTTTTCAAAGCTAGAATTTTTTTACAGATTTGGGAAAGCATTTTATTGAGTACAAAATTTCACAACTTTGTCCCAATTGAGGCCACCCTGTATTTTACACCGTTTCCAAATTCGCAAATGCTGTAGTTTGAATTTGAAACGACCTGTACATACATATACTTACCTCTGACTGTAATTTGAAGTTCCTATTTAGAATTTAGTGGAGTTAATCTATGGTGATACCGCGGAAGCGATAAGTTAATTTTTGTGAATTTTTTTACGCATGAAGGTATGTAATTGTTGAACTAAAAAATTGCTGAATAACTTTGCATACTGTCTCTATACTGTCTACACAGAAAAAAGAAAACGTTTTAAGTTAGCTAAATTTTGCGTTAATGTAACTAAATATATTCTTGATATAGGAGAAACTCATATGTGTCTAATTTAAAGTTATAATATAATTGATTTTTTTTAGAAAAACCTATTTAATGTAAACACCTATTAGTTAACGGGAAATATACATTAAATAATTTTTCTTTGGATTAGCCTTTATTCCAAATTATTATTTATTTGTATCACGCATTTCATGTAAGTATTTAAATACAAAGATCAGGTATTTGGCTTAATTTCTGTGTTTTTTAGAAAACCAGCAGGCGAACTCTCTAACTCGATAGAAATAGAAATAGAAAAATAATAGCAAAGAAAAGAAATTTCTTTCTATCGACAAATGCTAAACTTTTTCTTGAAATCTTCGAGTAACTTCGTTTATAGAGAAATGCGTACTAACCAATCTGAAAACATTGTGACAGATTTTAGGGATTTTAGACTTTTTCGATTTTCAATAATATACCGGTGTTTTTGACAAGTTAATTTTTGATTGTCAATCTTATCATTTTCATTTCTTATTCATTTTGTCTTTGCATATTGAGCTCTTTCGGAGGTGTATACCCATTGTTACCATTACACCAGGCTGGATAAAGGTTCCAATGACCCAAGCAGAAAAGGACGTGATAGAAAGCAAAGATTCTCGATGTAAATGCGAAGTCTGGGGGTCCCAGCCATGATTTTTTTATATGGAGGAATTGTCTATTATGTATGTACCGTTCAACACTCCCATAGTCCAATTCATAGTTAAATGATTTCCTAATTCTTAGTTTCACTGCTATTCCCGTCAATATCAGTCGCCAATATCAAACAAATTATCAGTCGTCATATGAAAAAATGTATGTCAGTCTTTAATCACAAATCAAAACAAAAAATCCATAGAAAAAATCATATAGAAAAAAAAAATTAGACGAAGATAAGCTTATGTCATTTGTGATTGTGTAGAATGAAAAGGAAAAATAGCAAGACCGAAAAGGTCTTTCTATTTCTTTTGACACGAGCAGGTAGTTCGAGGTAGCGATTCTAACCGAGTGGGGTTAGGGAGTTCCGTTTCGTCGATTTTCTATCATGGAAAGGAAATTTCTTCTCTATGTTGTTACAGAGTACTGCTACTGAATATCTATTTTATCCAAATTAATATGTGTTGCAATAAATATATCATTTATTTGTTCAAATATTTGAGTTGTTCAAATAATTAGATGCATATTTAATATTTTTCACCACATTTTAAGGGTCCAGGGAAAAAGGATGATGCTCATATGAAAAAAAGATTAATTTATTTTAAAAAATATTTACAAACAAAACAACAAATACCGTAAAACGGGGATACTTTGTGACAGATTTGGGGGTTTTTTGAAATTCTCAAACATTTCTTTGCCACAAAAAATTCTAAAAAAAAATACAGTGTGCATATCGTTCTTCCGCTACAAAATGGCAGTTCTAGAAAATTGAAAAAAAAAATAAAAATTCTGCTTTTTTTTAATTTGAAAGTGTCACAATTTTACCCCGTGATGCGGGGGGGGTTACTTTATGACAGTGCGTTTTTACAATGAAAACATAATGTAACCCCGTGATTTTTAGTCCGAAATGATAGGAAATTTCAAGAAATATATGCTTGATAATTTTCTGATATTGAAAACACGGGTATATGTGTCAAATTAATAAATCG